AGAATGCAACAATTAAGCTGGGTGGTGGTGTACTCCTTTAATCCCAGCACTTGAGAGGCAGAGGAAGGAGGATCTCTGAGTTCCAGGCCAGCCTAATCTAGTTTGGGGCCAGTCAGGGCTACACAGAGAAACCCTGTCTAAAAAAAACAAAAAAACAAAAACAAAATCAAACAAGCAAACAATAAAAGAATGCAACAATTATCTCCATAAATTTCCCCTTTCCTTTTTCCTCTAATAAAAATTGCAAGCTGGGCGGCAGTGGCGCACGCCTTTTATCCCAGCACTCGGGAGGCAGAGTCAGGTGGATCTCTGTGAGTTCGAGGCCAGCCTGGGCTACCAAGTGAGTCCCAGGAAAGGCGCAAAGCTACACAGAGAAACCCTGTCTTGAAAAACAAAACAAAAACAAAAATTGCTGCTTTTGCTTGTGTTTGCCCTAATAATAGGGATTCACATAGAATCTTATAGAGTCTAGGTCAGTACTCTACCCTGAACTGTTTCTCTATCCCAAATTGTTCACTGTTGTTGTGATTATATACAACACAAGCACATGTGCAGGTGTGCCCATGAGGAGGCCAAAGGATCACATTGGTTTTTCCGCTCCATCACTCTTCATCTCATTCCCTTGAGATCCAGTCTCTCGCTGAACTTGTAGCTAGGCTGGCTAGGCCAATAAGCCCAGCCATCTTCCTGTCTCTAACCTGACAAAGTGCTAGGGTTATGGACAGGCATTCACAGTCATGACTAGCTTTTTACAGGAGTGTTGGGGATTTGGAATCAGGACTTTATGACTGCCTAAGAAATGCTCTTACCTATAAGCTATGTCCTCAACTCCCCAAACAGGTGCTTTTTGTAATGTAAGAATACATAAGTGTAAGTCCTCTATTTCTTTTTGATGTTTTATTATTATTTATTCATTTTATTTTATGTGTGCTTTGCCTGCATGTATGCCTGTGTACCAAATGCATGCTTGGTGTCCATGGAGGTTACAAAAAGGCGCTAGAACCCCTGGAACTAGAGTTATAGAACTAGAGTTACAGAAGGTTGTGAGGACCACAAAGGTCCTCTGCAGAGCAGTCAGTGTGCGGAACCACTGAGCCACTCCTCTAGCCCTCTGTCTTACCAAGGTGTGTTTCCATATTGGTGACAGTGTAAAGCTGGGCATGCTAACAATCCCAGCCCTTGTAAGACAAAAGCAGAAGGATCACATGTTCCAGGCCAGTTTGGGCAATCAAATTAGTTCAAGGCCAGCTTGGGCTAAAAAGACAGACACTGTCTCCAAAACAAGAATATTCTATGAAACAGAAAACACAGCAATTAAAAACTAATTTAAAAAGATGTATCCCCGGGCTGGAGAGATGGCTCAGCGGTTAAGAGCACTGACTGCTCTTCCAGAGGTCCTGAGTTCAATTCCCAGCAACCACATGGTGGCTCACAACCATCTGTAATGAGATCTGGCGACCTACATGCATGCTTGCAGGCAGAACACAGTATACATAAAAAAAAAAAAAAAAAAAAAAAGAGATGTATCCCCAACACAGCAAAATCTACTAACTGAATTCAACAAGCAACAGGAGCCTAAGCATATATACCACTTTAAACAAAACAAAACAAACAAACAAAAAAAAAAAAGACAGGGTCTCATGTAACCCAAACTCAGAATGGCCTTAGTATGGAGCCAAGGATAACCCCCAATTCTTGGTTCCTACCTCAACTTCCATTGTGCTAGGATTACAGGCACTCATCACCATGAGGGGCTCATCTGCTTCCAGATATTAATATAAATTATTGTTTGGGTTACAAGGAGAATTTTACCTACTTTGTTGCATTTCCTCTTACATTTATATGTACTGCTTTAGTAAGTCAAAAACATAAAGAAATTACCCAAACTGAAATTCTATCAGAATCACAAGATATGAGCTATATGCCTGAGGTAGCTCTAGGAATAGTTTTATTAAAATTATGAAGCTAGGCGGTAGTGGCGCACGCCTTTATCCCAGCACTTGAGAGGCAGAGCCAGGCGGATCTCTGTAAGTTTGAGGCCAGCCTGGTCTACAGAGCGAGATACAGGAAAGGCACTAAAACTACACAAAGAAACCCTGTCTGGGGGGGTGGGGGGGAGAGCACCTATACATAGTGGCACACAACTTTAACATCAGTACTCTGGAGACAAAAGTAGGCAGATCTCTGTGAAATTAAAGCCAGCCTGGTCTACACCCTGCCTCAAATTAAAAAAAGAGAAAGGAAAAAAAAACAATTATTTATTATCACATGTCAAATAAGGAATTTTTGTTTTTGTATACGTTGTCTGTGGGGAACAACCCCGGGACGTTCAAGTGTCATACATCTAAACTATACTCACAGGGAGACATCGTAACAACACAAGAAGCTGGACTTAGTAGTTCACTTGTGCAATCCCAGCACTTGAGAGGCTGACACAGGTGTGTCCCCACAAGTTCAAGGCAGGCCTGGGCTTCATAGAGACCCTGTCTTTAAAAAAAAAAAAAAAAAATCAAAGCAAGGGGCCCACACAAGATTGCTCAGTGGCTAAAGGCTTGCCACAAGCCTGGCAACCTGAGTTGCCTATAAAGTCCTCTGACCTGCACATGTGTGCTATATGAGAACATATAAGCTTTTAATACTGGCAGATATAGGCAGATCTCTGAGTTCAGGACCAGCCTGGTCTATATATCAAGTTCCAGCCCAGCAGGAACTACATAATGAGACCCTGCCTAATTCATAAACAGACAGACAGAGGGTTGGCAGTGTGGCTCAGGACAGAGTTCTTGTTTAGCCTGCAAAGGGCGCTGGCATTGATTCCCAGCACAAGTAGAGGGGGAAAAAAGAAAACGCATAACCAAAACAAGGAAAAAAGTCTAAGTCAAACAAAACAACATGACTATAATCCTATCCCTGAGCAGTCAAGGCAGGGGGACTGGCATGGGCTAGAAACCCACACTTTCTCAACAGCAGACAGAGGCAAAACAAACAAACAAGTCAAAACTACTAGCAATAAATATTTAGAAAACATAACAAAAACCTAAACATGAAAAATATCCGGGCTGGGGACATATAGTTCGGTGGTAGGGCCATCTACCATGTTATAGAAGGTCCTGGGGTCAATTATCAGCCCCACAAAACTAACATAACAGAAAGTTGCCTGGCTACTTAGGAGGCTGAACAGAGAGAATTTCTCAAAGAAGGATCATTGGAGCCTTAGATTGAGGCTGAGCACAAAGCAAACTCCTACTTCAACAAATAATTTATGTACACAAACTTACTTGAAATAACAAGTTATATAATTTGTATTTATTCAGATATTTAAATTTTTTGAATTAATTGCTTACCAAGTAAACAAAATTCATAAGAAAGTTTGTATATAGGCATTTAAAAATACATTATGGAGCACTAAAGGATCAGCATTAAATGTTTAGTTCCTTTGGTCGCCAAGTCATCTTATGTCTAAATAGGGTTACTCAACTAAGCCTACTACAATAAAATTGGCCCACCTCCTGCTTTCATAAATAAGCACTTGTTTAAAGGTTGAAACGGGCTGCCGAGATGGCTCAGAACTTACAAGCATGTCTACTTTTTGCAGGGGATGGGATCTGGCTCCCAGCACCCACACGGCAAGCTGCTAACAATCTGTAACTCCAGTCAAGTGCCCTCCTCTGGTCTCTGCCGGCCCAGGCAAACATGATGCACACGTACAGTGCAGGCAAACACGATGCATGTGTATATGTGCAAGCAAACATGATGCATGCGTATATGTGCAGGCAAGCTCGCACATAAGAGTAAACCCTGCATGCGTGTATATGCAGGCAAACCCACACCTAAGAGTAAACCCTACATGCGTATATGTGCAGGCAAACCCACACATAAGGGTAAACCCTGCAAGGCATGGAGACACACACCTTTAACCACAGCACTTGGGAGGCAGAGGCAGGCAACCTCTAAGAGTTCGAGGACAGCCTAATCTACATGAGTTTTGGCCAGCCAGGGTTACATAATGAGATCCTGTCTCAAATCAAAATAAATATTTGGAAAACAGCCTCCTCAATTTGCACATGGTGCATGGCTGTTTTCCTGCTACTGTGGTGGAGCCACAAGAGCCACTAGGCCAACAAAATCTAAATTATCTATTAGCCTGTTATACAGAAGTTCTCAGACTGTGATCTAAATGATAGCCAAATATATCAAAAATGGCAGAAAAATAACTGCTTGCTCATTTCAGCCCAATTATTTAAGGTTTTTATGAACTCCTTTGTAATTAATGTCACTTAGTAAATGTGACATTCACATTGTGGTTACTTTTCATAGAGTAGGTATTACATTAGTTGCCCAGTAATTCATCCCTCACAACATTATTACAAACAAAATCCTCACTAAGGCACATTTGCAATTATCACTATATATATTTATCTTTCAGTTGCATATAACCTACTAAGGTACAGACAAGCAAAGCTGAATACAGAAACAACAGCTGATATAACTTAATAACTCCTAACAGTCTATTCACACTACAGCATCTCAGAGTACCATTAAGGACAAAATTATCAGTGTTATCAGGACTGCGTACCAGGAAAGACAATCCATCACACCATTCCAAACCCAGCAGGCTTCTTTTATGCACATTAAAAAATTTGAGAACTGGCCAGGCAGTAGTGGTGCACGGCTTTAATCCCAGTCTCAAAATAAATAAATAAGCAAACAATAAATAAGTAAATAAGTAAATAAATAAATAAATAAATAAATAAATAAATAAATAAATAAATAAAATAAAGCAGAAATATTGTCAGATGTGAAGAATGAACCAGTTACTAAAGCCAGGCATAGTGGGGCAAACCTTTAATCCTAGCACTTTGGAAGCAGGTAGAGCTCTGAGTGTGAGGCCAGCCTGGTTTACAGAGCAACTGCCAGCACTGCCGAGGCTACCCTGAGAATTTCTATCTCGAAAAACCAACAAAGGCTTTGAGAACCATTGCACTGAAAGATAATTTTACCTTGAGTGTGAAAAGGCTGATTCGGCCAGGCAACTTATAAAATAGCCCTTCTCCTCCTCTCGAGTTGGAATGTAGCATGGCATTGAGGCACGCAAGAGGAGATGTCCCACTGGAAAACACGAAAAGATGGAAATGGATCACAAAAACCGGCTTCTACTTACCAACCCCCTGCCCCTCCTCCAATTCATTTTCAAACCAAGAGGTAAACAAGCAGTGCAGGAGCAACGACCCCACCCATCTATTACGGAAGCAGTAGAAGACGAACAACTGAAGTCCACAGAAGCCACTCAGAGGGTCTAGGCTATAGTGCGTGACAACTCAGGACAGGCCAAGCCCATCTTCAGTGTTTCCTGACAATATAAACCCAATTCTCAAGAAATCTAGAGAGTACAGCAGTTAAGAGTGCTTACAGCAAGCCAGGCCTGGTGGTGCACATCTTTAATCCCAGCACTCAGGAGGCAGAGGCAGGTGGATCTCTAAGTTTGCGGCTAGCCTGGTCTACAGAGTGAAGAAACTTGTTCCTGTCTTGAAGAGGGGGAAAAAAAAAAAAGAGTAGGTTTGCTGCTTTCAAAAAGGACCAGAGTTTGGTTCTTGGTACCTGTGCTGGGTGGCTCACAATCTGTCAACACTAAGCTACCTATGCCCTCTTCTGACTTCTGAGCGATACATGGCATACACACATACAGACTCACACAAATTAAAAATGAAAAATTTCCAGGGGGCTGGTGAGATGGCTCAGGGGTTAAGAGCACTGGCTGCTTTTCCTAGAGATCCTGAGTTCAAATCCCAGCAACCACATGGTTGGTCACAACCATCTGTAATGAGATCTGGTGCCCTTTTCTGGTGTGCAAGCATACACACAGAAAACCGTATACATAATAAATAAATAAAAAAAAAAGGGCTTAAAAAAAATTTCCAAGTCGTATGTTAACAAATTTAAAACATATTATTTTAACCAGGTACACTGACTCGTTCTTGTAACTTCAGTACTCAGGAAGCTTACATAGGAGGCCTGCCACAAAGCCTAGGCCACATACTCAGTTCCAAGCCACTCTGGGCTATATATGACAATCTGCTCAAAACAGAAACAAATACACCTTAATAAAATTTTACTATTACAAATAAATGTTTTCAGCTAGGCTTAGTGGTGCACGCCTTTACTTCCAAGCACATGAGAGGCAGAGGCAGGTGGATCTCTGGGAGCTTGAGTCCAGCCTAATCTACACAGCAGAGCTCCGAGATAGCTAGAGCTATATAATAGAGCCCCCGTATCAATTAACATTTAAGAAAAAAACATAAGTATTTTGGTTACTAGGACCAAAGAGATGGCTCAGCAGTTAACAATACTTGCAGCAGAGGACTGGGGTTCAGTTTCCAGCACTCATATCAGGCAACTCACAAGAGCTGTCAGTAACTAACACTAACACACACACACACACACACACACACACACACACACACACACACACACACACACACACGTTCTTGGTCAGGGAGATGACTTAACAGGTAAAGGCTCCTGCCACCAAGCCTGAAGACCTGAGATCTATTCCTAGGGTATGGTAGAAGACCTGAACCAACTCCTGTAAGTTACTCTCTTACCTCTACACCCCCCTCCCCAATATCCACATAAAGTAAGTAAAATGTAATAAACACTTTGAATAAAAAACAAAAACAAGTTTCCCAGTAGCTACATTGTAATATGTTATCATACTCAGGACATTGCCACATAGCTATATGAAAATAGCAGACTCAATGGCACTATATCCCCATAATATGCTCATACTTTATTTTTGCACTTGAATGTTTTCTAATAAAAGCACACAAAAAACACGGTATTTGATTTTTCTTTGTATGAAAGGGAATGGGTAAGTCTCATCTAGACACTTCATTTATAAAGAAAAAGGCCATTAAATGGATTTAGTGTAAATAATGTTTAAACACCTAACTAGATGGTATATTAAGTTCCATGGTCCCTGCCACAACAGTAGGTTACAAACTGACAACTTCATGAGACAGAGGACACTTACTGAATCTTAAAACAGAAAAATGTGTCAAAAAACAGACAAATGTTAATACTAGGAGTCAACCTATGCATGTTTTCTTCCCTTTCCTCACTATGTTAAAAAAATTATCTTAAGCCCCTATTTTTTTAAAACTAGCAACCTAATTTACATAGTGTTAAAAATAAATTGAGTGTAAAAAAGCCATTAAAAAAAAAAACAATTATTCTGCTTTGAAACACACTGAATGCTAAAAATAACTTTAACAAAAAAAAAAAAAAAAAGTCACTAAAAGCAAGCTGGTGCAGAATCTAGACCAGCAAATGGCTGTGCTAGCATCTCCTACAAGGGGCATAACACACTGGCAAGTCCCTTCTGTGATTCCTACATGCTATACCTATGTACAGTGACAGAGCTGCTCACTCATCCCAAATACTACAATTCCTAGAACAGCAAAAAACAGAAACAAGAGACAAATTTACCTTCTACAGGCATAGTGATCCAACAGTAGGGCAGACATCAGCATGATGGGAAATAGCCCATAAAAACAAAAATAAAGCACAATTAGTACATTGCAAAGTTCATAGGTACAAGTAAAATAGATGGGCTATAGGCAACCCTAGGCATCCCTCCACACAAAACATTAAAAAAATATGTGATCTGAGGAAAGTGAACAACTTTTATCATTTCAACTGGCTATAGTTTGATTAGCCACACAATATACTAACTGCTTAGGACTGGGGAGAAAAGCTCATTCAATAAAGCACTTGACAAGCAAGCACTCAGACCAGACTTCATGCCCCAAAACCCACATGTAAAAATTAAAAAGCAGATGTGGTAGCCAGGTGCTTGAATTCCACTGCTGGACAGATACGACTTGGTAGCAAATCAGTACAGTCTAATGGGCAAGCAGTAGGTCCCAATGAGAGACTCCCTTTCTCAAAAAGCAAAGCAGAATGACATCCAAGGTTGTTCTCTGGCACACACACAAATATATACACACCATGCATCTGCACATACATAAACATGTATGCAATATCCCCCATTATCAAAATGGTGCTTGTTCCGAGTCCCCAAAAGGGACTGCTGTTATATAGACTCCTCTTTCCTCACTTATATTAAAGTGGCAGGAGGCAGGGAGATGGCTCAGTGGTTAAGAGCACTGGCTGCTCTTCCAGAGGACCTAGGTTCAATTTCTAGCTCCCACCTGCATGGAACTCTAGTTCCAGTGGTTCCAATGTCTTCTTCTGGCCTCCATGGGTACTGCATGCACACAATGCACAGACATACACTCGGGTAAAATACACACCAAAACAATTTAAAAAAATTTTTTTTAGCTAAGCAGTGTTGGCACACACCTTAATCTCAGCACTCAGAGGCAGAGGCAGGAAAATCTCTTGAGTTTGAGGGCAGCCTGGTTTACAGATGAGTTCTAAGACAGCCTGGGCTACAGAGAAACCCAGTCTTGGGGGTAGGGGACAGATTTTCAAAGGGGTTGGTATAAACGGTGAGAAGAGGAAAATCAAAGACAACCCCTGGTTTTCATGCCTCCAATTATTTATTTCTGTTTCTCTCCAGGAAAACATTATAACAAATTCAAGGTTACTCATTAGTACATTTTAAAAAAATGATTTATTTTTATTATTTTATGTGCACTGATGTTTGCCTGCATGTATGTCTGTGTTAGAGTGTCAGATCTTGGGGTTACAGACAGTTGTGAGCTGCCATATGGGTGCCAGGATTTGACCCAGAGTCTCTAGAAGAGCAATCAGTGCTCTTAACCACTGAGCCATCTCTCCAGGCCCCTCATTAGTACATATGTATCACAAAAGACTAAATCTGCTAGTTGTGGATGGTGTGTGCCTGTAATCCCAGCATTTGAGAGGTGGAAACATTAGGAGTTGAAGGCAAGCCTCAGCGGTACAGTAAGTTGGAAACTGCCCTGGGCTGCAAGAAACTGTCTCAGAAAACAAGAATGGTTAAATCTTTGAGTACCCAGAGGGTTTTATGCCACTGAGACCACCCTTAGATCCAAAAGGACAAGACTTCAGTGGTGGGGCAAAGAAAAGTAGAGAGAAAAGAGCATATATTGGCTTACTCCTTCTCTATTACTAAAACTTGTAAAATAAGAGTGTATGAGAAGCCAGGACAGTAAGACCTTATCTTTAAAAAAACAAAACAAACAAAAAACAGTATACTAGAAAATGTGTCCGATTCCATTAAAGAAAAGTAAGACCCTAACTCTAGCTGTAGGTCAAGATCTGGTTGAGGTCTTGTGAAAGACACTATTTCTAATGAAAATAAATGGATGTCTGCCCAGTCCACTCCCACCCTCCCCTCAGGACACAGCACACTACCATCAGATACACAATCACAGACAGACGGACAGGTTGACTTACTACTGCACAGCACAGATACACGTCATTTAAGCAACAAGAGCAATACAAACCTCATTTCCTTTAGTCCTTCTGCCTCTATGACCTGCAGAATCTGTTTTGGTGTCATTGGAGCATCCGAGTAGTTTTCTAACACCTGAAGAAACATAAACGTCCTGACTTCAGTGTGAAAACTTCCATTGCATTCAATCTGTACCATGGCCAGTAGTTCTGCTATGAGAATTGCCAGTGCCAGATGAGATTTACCACAATCAAAATCACTTTGGTGTGGGGGTGTGGCTCAGTGGCTGAAGTACAAGGCCCTGGGTTCTATCCCCAGCATGACATTAAAACAATCACTTCAGAAATCACACTTTTTTTTTTTTTTAAATTTATCTAACTTTATTTTATGTGTGTTGGTATGAAGGTGTCAGATCCCCTGGAACTGGAGTTAGAGACAGTTGTGAGCTGCCATGTGGGTGCTGGGAATTGAACCCAGGTCCTCTGGGAGAGCAGCCAGTGCTCTTAACAGCTGAGCCACCTCTCCAGCCCCCAGAAATCACACTCTTATCAGTATATTGACAGTTAAATGCAATTAGATAAAAACACCACAATTAGGTAAAACATTCTCATCTTCAATTCTAAGGATAGCTATTTAAACATCTACGTGTAATAAATAGTATGCAACAGTAGCAGCTCTGGTAACTGCACAATTTTATGTTAAAATACAGAATATAGACAATGTGTGGTGGTGCACACCTTTAATCTCAGCATGCATGAGGCAGGTGGATCTCTTGTGAGGCATGTCTCAAAAAATAAAAACCAACAAAAAAAATATTGCTGAAAAATATGTAAGATGGAAATTCATTCAAATTTTCCTTTCGGAGGAACTTTCAGGCCAAGTGTGGTGACTCATGACTTTAATCCCAGAAGAAGCAGACAGATGTCTGTGGGTTCAAGGCCAGCCTGGTCTTGAGCTACATAACGACATCCTGTCTTAAAAAAAAAAAAAAAAATAGTTTTGACTAGTACCCATATGGATATGTGTGTATATATACAGTTTTTTGTTTTTGATACAGTGTCACTATGGAGTCCTAGCTGGCATACAACTCATTATGTAGACTAGACCAGTCTCAAATTCATAAAGACCCACCTGCCTCTGCTTACCACATGTTGGGATTGAAGGTGTACACCCCCATGCTGGGCTGTATATTCAGAGACAACCTAGGTTAACTCTGAAATTGCCATACAGTCATGCTGGGATTACAAGAGTGTGCCGTGCCTATCTTCAGCTCTGAACTTCTGGGTTAACTGCCACAGTACATTTTGCCACTTGACGACACGAAGCTGTGGTTCTATGTGTAACTGACATAACACACAGTGAGGAACCTAATGCCCTGCTTGTGTTAGTTCATCTGTGACTAAGTCAGCACTTCCCCAGCAAGTGCCGTTCTCACTGAGAAGCTGAGCTGTTTCAGAAATGTTCCTCTTCTAAGGAAAGAAAAATAAGATGTCATCATCTTACTTTCTACACCTGTGCAGCTGCTTCGGGTACTCCAAGCTAACGTGTGTTAACACCCAAGCTCTCCCTGTCTTCACAAAAAAAAAAAGGAAGGCTACAGAAGACCTTATCACTAAAGGAAATCTAGGTTTGGAGAAGTGAGCACTAAAACAAACTCCTGTTCTTCCTCCTGAGACTCTCTCCTAATTTTTACATTGCTCTTGGATAATGTGTTAATTACAAACACTGCTTCTAACTCTGATGAATCTGATCCTGTCTACCTCTAGTCCTGACTTCTGTCAAGCTTCAGAATCAAGTAGCTCTGTCTGACTCATCAGTCTAGCTGTCCATTCTTCATGTGTGCTACTCTAATTCATCTCAGCAACTGTAGTTTGTCCCCTCTCAGCCCTATGCTTTCTCCCTATATTCCTTACCTTGGTTGGCACTCAAAACCTTTCTAATCACCTAACTCAGCAACACACACATGGCATCCTTCTCTCTCATCCACCTGGTTCACCACCACAGCCAATGACCCAACTTAACAGCCTCTTCCATAATACCCTTTAATACACAGGAAGGCCCTGGGGCCGTTTTCCTAAAATCCACCCCTATTTGTGGTTATCCCCCATTTAAAACCACAGGGAACACCTGCTTTGTGCCAGGCCTAATTCTAGGGACTCAGATTCTATGTTTATCATGTTTCTATGATAATCCATTCAAAATCATCCTCAGCGACTCTGACTGTCACTCCACACGCAGCAGAGGGTAAGTTTCCAGAGTCCACCCTATGCCCCACTAAAGCACAGGCTTTAGAATCAGACAAGCCAAGATTTAAATTCTAGTCTCTAACCTGAAACAAGAACCTACCAATCTGAGCCAAAGGTCCTCTCTCACTCTTCCTCTCAGGGTCACTTTTCAGATTAGAGAGAACGTAAGTAGGGACTTGTAGGTGCTCATAGGCTGGGCATACAAGGCCTCCCAATCAATCACCTGTCTGTCTCCCCACAAGACTACCTCACTGACACTGCACACTTCTGTCCCAGCAATTACTCTTTGTTCCACCCCAATTGCGTACTTTGCAAATATATTCACACCCATGTATTTTTCCCCCTCCCTCAGCCATTCTTTTTTCATCAACTCCTGTATGTATGGCCTCCTCTGGGATAGGCCTCCTTACATTCCAATATAACCCTTCAAGACTCAGCTTAGAAAGTACCTTCCTGGCCAGGCGGTGGTGGCACACGCCTTTAATCCCAGCACTCGGGAGACAGCCAGGCAGATTTCTGTGAGTTCAAGACCAGCCTGGTCTACAGAGCGAGATCCAGGACAGGCTCCAAAACTACACTTAGAAACTCTGTCTTGAAAAACCAAAAAAAAAAAAAAAGAAGAAGAAAGAAAGAACGAACGAACCTTCTTCTGGAAGCAGTCCCTGATCTATGCCAGGCAGACTCCAATCTCTTTTAAGGTATTTCCACTGTTCCACAGTACAAGTAATTATCTCCCAAGCCTGGATACTTAGTGAGAAACTAATCATATTTATTAACAAGAAGCAAAAACCAATATATCCTTTAAATCTGTGCATTTCCAGAAACACGTATACCTGTAGTTCTGTTCATGCATTTGACCCACCCCCAAACTATAAGTTCCTCCTCTTCATAGTCTAAGATTACCCAAATGCCACCTGGGAAACCGACAGTAAACCTTAGTCCATGCTACTCATGTTCACTGTCACAAGATACATCTCTTTGACACTAGCTGAGCTAGCACATCTTCAAACACTTTTTTGGGAAGCATGATTCTGAAAAAAATATCTACCAATTATTCAAATAGTAGCCAGGAAGAGCTTGAGAATCTTAAAACAGAAGAACGAAAATTCTACAGAGAAGTTACATCTAAAGATAAAGTATTCATTTTCATTAAAATTGCATATACCACTAGCTTCCGGAACAATCAAGCAGTGTTCTATTCCCAGTCTTTCTCTATAGACTGCACATTTTTTGAAGGAAAGAAAAAAGTATCTCTTCTACTTAAAAGGAAAAAAAATGTTTGATGTAAGAATGGTCAGCCATGAATAAAAGCAAGACAGGAATCTATTTAAGAGTTGTACACAATTTAAAAGGAAATCTCGTTGGCTGTTTCTCCCAAATTGTTAACAAGCTGGCAAATTAATCCCCCTCCTCTACTTCCAACAGCTAGAAACCATACCAACCACACCGTAAGGCCATCTGAGAGAAAAATGTCCACTTCTTAAAAGTAACAACTTCAAAAAAACCCATCTGCAGGGGTATGCTACTCTACTGGAATTCTCAGCTTTCCTACACCAAAACAGATTATCTTCTTGCCAATCTGAGCCAGGTCAGGAGCAATTAGAAACTTCCACCTGACAAACGCATGTGGTCACCACACACACTCTAAATTCAACTGTTCAAAAGTAGTTAAGAATAATCCTGTTACAAAGTGAACTGCCCTGCCGTTGTCTCTGCTTGCCATATCTCTCTTTGCAGGAAAAGCTAATAAACTCCCCAGCACTCAGTGTGACAGGACTTTTTTAAATGGGAAGAAGACTCAAGTCAACCTCCCACCCCCACAAAGACACAGAAAATTCTAAAACACAAGCCACATAAAAGATATGCAAAATTGCACACCACATTCCCACAAGTCCTCTTTCAAATGTACAACTACACCACAAAGAAATTCCTGTTCAGATTACTATTTTTAACTGAAGAGCCAAAGAAGAAAAAGAGAAATAACTTACTTAAGATAATTGAGTTTGAAGGTGAGCCAATGATAAAATAGAAATAGCAACCTTAACCTTGGAATTCAAACCACAGTAAATTTAAGAACCTAAAGAGGCTTAAAATAACAGCCGATTCCAAATTGCTAGAGCCTTTCAACTAATAAGAGCCAAAAGAGCTTTGAGACAAGATTTTTAGAATTGTCAGGACATAAATAACACGGGATTTGAAGGTACTTTCCCCTACCTCTAACAAGTGGGATTCTGGCAAGCAAATTTTCTTTGAGTGCCCAGAGTCATAAACACCTGCACACAGAAACTCAGAATTTCAATCAAGAGTCAAGACTCAACCTCCGTGGTAAAATAAAATGTTTCATTTCCTAGGCTCCTGCAGGCCTAAATTTGTCTCCAGGTGAAGCATCGATGAAGAAATCTCAAGTTCCAAGATTGAAAAAAACTAGCCAAATATTCTAGTTCTGATTGAATAATTGGGGGGGGGAGGGGGGAGACAGGACATGACACAACACGGACACCACCACCAAGGAGTTTCAATTTTTATAGGCCAGACAAAAAACAAACCGAACTACAACCTTCATACAAACAATCCCAGTTTCTGTTCCCAGGGTAACAAGATGATCAGGATGATCATGATGATCAGGAACATCAGTGGAAATTCTCTGCAAGCTCAAACAGCCTGGTTAAATCAATAACTAGCTTTCATGAGTCCAAGAAAGACAAAGGTGCACTCTAGATTTTTATCAACCGCCAACACTTTTAAGGCAGAACTCACTTTTCAGTAAAAGGAACAATAAGAAAGCTGAGCTGCACTCCACCATTAAAACTGAATTATAACAATTACATATAAAATACAGGGCGTCAACAGACAAGTAGGATGCACCATAACCTTGCACTATGGCGCCTGAGGAAGTGACATCTCCGAGAGAAGTATAACCTATTAGGACTGTCATCAGCAATATTTTATAAGAACATGCCCCAAGTCTTTCAGCGTTGTATTTTAATTCCAAAAGGAAGTGGTCTCACAAGTTCACAAACCCTCTGGGCAGGCAGCTAGCTCAAGCACAAGCCATCAATTTACTTTTTTGTATGTGTGTCTCGCTAAACCCTCTCAACAGGAGCCTCTGTATGAACAGACATACATTCTTTGCAAAGTGTCTTCAGTTCCTCTGCAAAGAGCCTACCTCTAGTGCAGTCACAGCGGCTCAGTGTGATCTGAATGTCCACGGGCCACCGGCACAATAATCCCTTAAGCAGTTGGCTAAAGTAATGTTTCTAAGCAGAATCTCGGGTTCAGTGTGTTTAAAATGGGTCCTAGAGCACCGTTTTTAAACAAAGTCCCCAGGTATATTCCCGCTGGGCACTCAAGTTTGAGAACCGTGGCTCAGGGTTCAGATTGGTCCGCAGCAATTGCTTGCCGACACACACACCTGGTTTAAATTGCCAACGCTCTAAATGCTTCCCATGTCCTTGAAACCAGGGGCGCTTGCCCACCCCCGCGGTGTCCACTCACCCACCCCACTGCCCACGAAGTAGTGAGGGGGAAGCACTTCCGACCCTGCCCGGAAACCTAACTCCGGCCCATGAATAAACGGCGCTTCCCGGGACCCCCTGCCGCGGCCAACGTGGGGAAGGGGAGACTGAAGCCTAGGCGCTCCCAGGGGAGGAGA